AACATTGGGAAAAACCTACATGATATAGGTGTAGGAAAAGATTTTCTAAACCGGACATCAATTGCTCTGGAAGCAAGGTCAAGAATCAACAAATGGGACCTCATTAAACTAAAAAGCTTCTGTACATCAAAGGAGGCAACCAGGGAAGTGAAGAGAAACCCACAGAATGGGAGAAAATCTTCACCAGCGACACGTCCTACAGAGGTTTACTATCCAGAATATATAACGAACTAAAAAAACAGAGAATCAAGACAAGAAGTAACCCAATTAAAAGATGGGCTAAGGAGCTGAACAGAGAGTTTTCAAAAGAAGAAGTAAAGATGGCTATGAAGCATCTTAAAAGGTGTTGAACATCACTAAAATTTAGAGAAATGCAAATTAAATCCACTTTTAAGATTTCACCTTACCCCAGTCAGACTGGTTAAGGTCAAGAGAACAAATGATACCAAATGTTGGAGAGGATGTGGGGAAAGGGGAACACTCATTGCCTGCTGGTGGGCCTGCAAACTTGCTCAACCCCTATGGAAAGCAGTGTGGAGAACTCTTAAAAAACTACAAAGGAACCTACCATTTGACCAAGTTATACCACTCCTTGGCATATGCCCAAAGAACTCATCCTAATGCAGAGACACTTGTACATCCATGTTTGTTGCTGTTCTTTTTCACAATAGCTAAGAGATGGAAGTAACCTAAGTGTCCCTCAATTGATGAGTAGATAATGAAAATGTTGTTCATTTATATGATGGAGTTTCACTTAGCAGTAAAGAAAGATGAAATAATGAAATTTGCAGGTAAATTGATGAAACTAGACATTGTTATATTAAGTGAAGTAACACAGACTCAGAAAAAAAATTGATGTATGTTATCCCTCATATGTGGATCCCAGAACCAAATCCTGTTAAGTGAGTATGTATGAAGGCATGACTTCAGGAACCAGGAATGGAAAGGAACCTGGGAGGTAAAGGAAAAAAAAAGAACCTGAAAGAGAAGAACACTAGGAAACAGGCCTTAATAAGGGAGATATGGATAAAAATTGGGATAGTTTAAGGGAGGGGGGAAGGAAAGGTATACAAAGAATCTAGGAGATAAAGGGAAAGAAGGAGCTCAAGAGAGGTAGGACCATAGGAGAAGGGTATTATTAAGGGAGAAAGGGGGTAAATGGGGGCACCTTAATTGGGGAAACCATGATGGAGGGGTTAGACAATGCGAGAGATAAATAATGCCCAGCTAGTTTTAAAAACCAGAGGGAACCATATTAGTCCAACAATGTACTGACAAATTATACATAGCAGATCAAGAAATACATGTCTGGGTAAGGTTTATCTGAGAACAATTGGTCTTTGCCCAAGATTTATCTACATGACACACAGTAATTAAAAGTACCAGATTGGTGGAACTAACCTTCTTGGATATTTAACAGACATACTTTGAGACCTATACTTATTTGGTCAGAGGGACATTAAAGGACAGATTTTGCTCCTTGCCCTCCTAGGTCGACTAGTTCCAGCATCTCCCAAACATCCTGTAATTGTGCTGGGTCACCTGTCCTCTTGATCAAGGAGGCCGAGGATACCCCACTGGATGGGCATGAACCAGTGTCCAGTCTACAAAGAGGAGGGTCAACACAGGGGAAACATTTCTTCCATGCTTCCGAGCGAAGCCAGCCAAAGTTGAGCAGGACCTTTGACTTATTTTCACATAGGTGGAACTGGTAAAAGAAAGGAGCCAGGGGCTCCTCCCAAGCCCAAGTGACCCCTGAGGAACAGATCCTCAAACGACCTTAAGAGTAAAAATAAATTGGGTTATCTGGGCCAGCTGTATGGTCTTAAACACCCAAAAGAAAGTATAACCAAAGATTAAAGGGACCAATATAATTTTTTCAGGTTCCATATGTATAGCTAAAGGCTACATAACAAGCAACAATGCCACATGGGAGATACCTTCTTTTGAGTTGTTGTCCAGGGTGGCCTAAGGGACTCTCAGATAGTAACCCAGCATAGAACTGGGAAAATAAACAGCAGAACCCAATCTTATCTAAAGGAATATTGACAACAGATTGCTGCTAGATGAGGAACAGCTGACCTTCCTATAAGAAAGACTTCTAGATAGGCTGACTAGATTCACCAGATGGGCAAGTAGTGGGGAACGGCTGGAGGTACCAATAACACAGAGGACAGTAGCAAGGATAACAGAGTATAAGGGCTCTAGTGGTGGGGAGGGAGGCTATGGGAGAGTGCCATCTGGGAACTGGGTGTATAGTTGAATAAGATGGTTTGGGATATTCTGTGTGATATACACACACACACACACAAAAAAAATCAACAAAATTTTAAAAATTCACTGTATTTGAGGAGGAAGCCTAAATTTTACATCATGTTAATTAGTAGAGGTGATGAACATTACCATTGAAATCTACCCAATGACTTTATAGACATACACAGGCCCCAAAGATCCGAGTGCAAACGATCATAACTAGTAATAATCAGATACATAACAGATACATAACAGATTAGAGACATACACTCCATCTCAGTGGTAGTAGCAAAAACAATGAGTCTTTCTGTAAGAAACAGTATATTTTAGAATGAAATGGAGATTTCTTTTGAGGGTTAAAAACTCATTCAATTTTATGTCTTACAGGGCTTATACTGAGTTCAATATTGTATAACTGTATTGATTCAACAGTGAACCTAGAAATCTTATAGCCATTTTGAAGGAGCTGTGCCTTCAGCTTGCTCTGGAAACTGTTATTGGGCATGTTAAAGTTGTAATGATATGCTTCTTTTTTCTAAAAAATAATAAATAATATTTTTTAAAAACACAGAGGCAGGAAACCAAAAAAATAAATGGATAGGTTAGCCAGTTATTTTAAAGCAAATACTAATCTGTGCCACAACACGTGGTAAGCTTT